GATGTTCTGGAACATTGTTTTCCACTGAACTGTCCTCATTTTTCTCTCCTTTTGAGTTCCTCAGATGGTGTCCGCAGTGGGCCACTCTGTGCACATCTGCCCCAGTCTCAACACTGAGGCAGCAGAATCAGGGTCCCTCTGGCCACCAGCAACCAAGAGTAGACACGGATGACTGCTTTCCACGAGTGTCTGGAGTTAAAGGGACCTGGGCACATGAGTCCTCCTGGAATCATGCCATGTCAGAAAGTCTGCTTCCAAGCCCCGCCCATGAGGAGTGCTGGATTGAGGACAGAGCTTACGGATAGAGCCAGGCCTGTCCTGGAGACACAGTACCATCGGGATGAGTCTGTATGGCAGCCAGAGGCCGAGAGAGCGCAGGACTTAACAGCCAGGGATGGAAATGGTTTTGATTACTTGGTTAGGGGCCATCACTGAGGTATGTCAGGTTTGTGTCTGGAAGACTCAGGGTCTGGCTCTTGGTGGCACTGAGGTTAAATGTAGCCTGGCTGGAGAAGGGGCACCCTGGGAATGGGGTGCTACTGCTGAGGGCCAGACAGCAGACAACAGCCTGGGCTGTGGGCGGCTTACACACTGGTGATTAGCCTTCTCCACACGGCTGCAATCCCCACGGTCCCTTTCGGAGGTTTCTATTGTGATCGTGGCCTCCAGCAGTGCTCAGGATGGGCCGAGGAGGATGTGACAAGGTGCACCAGGGGCCAGGGGCCGGAGCTGACTGCATATTTGCCACCCTCAGTTGTCCAGCGAGCATGTATGGCCATCTCTGTCCATGCAGACTGTCCTGCCTGTTGTGGGCTCCTAGCAGGCCTGTGGGGGGTGGCTGGCTCTGAAGGTTGCTCTGTATTCACGGAGACCCGTGCCCTTTATACCATTCACTCTTCTCTCACTCATGAAGAACGTGACTCTCCACGCCTGTGTGGGACTAATCACTGCTTCTTAAACACTTGGCTCTTTGATGCCAAGAGTCAGCACAGCAGAATCTCTACCTTCCTCTCCTCCCCTTAAAGATGTGTTCACCAGGAACACCCATCCCACCCCTAGGGCCCTTGCACTTGCAGGAAGCATGGTGTGATCAAAATACACTTGCAAGTCATAGGGTCTGGATTTAGAATGTGTTCTGCCCTAGCCAACTTTCGGCCCTGGCAGGTCCTTACGTGGTTTCAGAGCCTCTGCTTCTCTTTGATAGAGTCAGACTTGCCCATATTTCAAACTGTAGAAAAATAAGCACAATGCACAACTGCTTCTCAGCGCTGAGCTCAGAGGCAGACCACACCTCTGTGCCGCATTGCTAACGTCCATCTCTTCAGCACTCCCACCCTCCCAAGGTGAGGCGCCGTGTCCATTACACACGGGTTCTTCTCTCCCATGCTCGTGCACCTGTGGCTCCGCGTCCTGCGTGTGACAAGGACAACTTGTGAGTGTCCCGGGCACTGTTGCATGGAGCTGTGCTATGTCCCCGCAGGTGGCTAGGTGGTCACACGAGCCCCAGGGGTAAGTGGGAGCAGCTTGTAGACTGAAGAATCTCTTCTAGAGAAAGGTCCTAGGGCCTTGTGTCCTAGGTGCAGAGACCAGAGCAATGGACACGTTTCCCTCCTTTCTAGATAGTTACATCCTCCAAAGAGCTGCGGGCATGGCCTCCAGTGTCACAGCCAGGGACATGAGGAATTGTGCTGGTCTAGGAATGATTGCGGTAGTCCTCAATGAAACACCACCAATAAATACTCCCAGTCAAGAAACACAGTGCTTCCAAGGTTAGAGGACCAGACGCCCCTGCCACAGTTGTCCAGGACACACTGGCGTCGGCTGTGATGGTGTGGCACAGAGCCCACATGGGGCCCTGGGAGGAGCCAGGAACCCTCCTCTCCTGGTGGTTCCCTTTCCCCCTGTGGCTTTAGAACACGTCGCCACCCTGGCTGCTCCCATGAATTCCCTGGTGCACGCTACTTCCATTTTTCAATGGTAGGAAATGTGGCCCCGGAAGCAGACGCAAAATTCAGATATGCTTTGAGCAAGGCGGAGGGGAGAGGAAGGATGATGGTGGCCTGCTTATGATGAAGCGTGCTGGAGGTTTTCCCTTTAAAATATATAGATTTTTTTTTTTTTCGAGAAAAGGTCTCATTCTGTTGCCCAGGCTGGCCTTGAAATTGCCACTCTCCTGTCTCAGCTTCCCATGTGCTGAGATCACAGAGGCCTGTCATTACAACCAGTCTACAGTTTGCCTTGTTTCAAATGGTTTGCTCTTCCAGAAAAATTCACTGCTGAAGCCTTACTCAGTCTCCTGCTGAGGAAGTTCTGGGTGCTTCTGGGAAGGGTTAACTTGAGGCTTCTCAGCGCAGGCCACAGCCCACCCTCTCTGTTGCAGGTTTTCCAGGTATGGGCTTGACCAACTGCAGAATGAAAATACTTGGATAAACTCTGTTCCTGTCCTGCAGACTCCAGTGTTTTCATCATCTCTCCGCACAGCACAGTTTAACAAATGTGCGCACAGCATGGCTGCAGCATAGCTGAGTGACCTGCCAGTGTGTGAGGATGGAGCCAGTGAGCTCCTCAGAGAGTCCAGAGGGCAGATTGTGCCTCTTGGGTCCAGCCAGAACCTTCAAATATGGCATCACCTAACAACAGCGCCTGTGCCAGGTGCAGTGACACAGGCTTGCGATGCCAGCGTTTGGGAGGTGGAGGCAAGAAGAGCAGGAGTTGAAGGCCAGCCTGGCCTGCACCGTGATCTCCAGTGACGCCACAGTGCTCAGGATGGACTATGACTCCGTCGCCTGGGGTTCGGATTAGAAGAGGACTCTGACATGAAGAGGGAAGGCCATGAAGGTGTGGAGATGGGGACGGGCTGCCTAAGCTCGAGCGTCCCCAGCAGAGCCTCACTTATGAGGGGCTCAGGGGCCAGTCCACCGCGCCGTGGGACTTCTTGCCATCAGGGCCGACAGTGCCTCCTCTGTCTGTGCTGCTGGCTCACTGTGTGTAGTCATGGCGGCAGTAAGGAAGGACTGCAGCCACGCCATGCTCCCTTCTTGGTTGTTCGGACCAATCCACCTTAGCCTTTCCGGTGACAATCCCCTCCTGGCCAAGGCCCTCCCTGAAGCCACGCCCAGGAGGTACTGGTCGGCACCGGCTTTCTTGAAGATGAACTTTATGGTGCAACTTTCTGTAACAACGTCTCTAGTTCCTTGGCAAAAACCGTGCTCTGTTCAAGTCCAGAGGTGCAAATGTTCGAAGAAGAAGGGGAGCCGTCTGCAGCCTGTGGTCTGCTGCCCTAGGCCTGCACTGCACAGGGACTTTAGCCCTATGAACTGTTCACACGTCTGTGAGGGGCTTTCTGTCCCGAGAGGACTTTTAGACGCTGGTATGCTGTGTATGCTGCTCAGCCGGCAGCAAAGATAGCCAACTGTCCATTCGTGTTTTTATGAATACAAGGCTGAAACTGGAGGCAGATAGTGAAGAAGAGCTGTGCTGTGTGGGCGTAAGTGACACACACACACACACACACACACACACACACACACACACAGCATCTGTAGGTTTTAGCAAGTTAGCACCCCTCTTCTCTGTCTGCTTCTGATGCAGCTCCTAGCTCTAGGAGCTCCAGACATCTCTCCACACGTTCGTTCACTTGGTGGGAGTTGGTGGGGTTGGGAGCCTGTGGGCACGCTTGCCCTAGGGGACTCAGAATGTTCTTTGTCATTCTTCCTGGGCATGGCTCTGGGCAGGTAGATGGACAACTTACTTCAAGAAGACAGAAGTGGGGGTTCCATACTTGCCTTGTGAAGATGATGGGCCCACAATCCTTGGGTTTGGACGGTTTTGTTTTGGGCCGGGAAACTCTTGTGGGCTTAACACGGAAGCAAGCTAAGTGTCCTCTGGGTTTAGGGACAACAATGTGCTCAACATCAACCTTGCACACACTCAAGAGCAACTGTGGTGCGGCTCAGTGGTCTTTTCCCGATGGCAGAAGGAGGGCAGATGGAGGTGGCAGGCGGCCACATCGCTGTCTCCTGCTCAGCCTCCCTGCACCTGGCTGGTGAGTCTTGCCCACAAAGTAGGTGCTGAAGCTTGAGCCTCAGCGTGTGTGGAGCTATCCCCGGCCCCTTCCTTTGCCTTTCCTTTTCACATGAAGTCGTGAAAGGAAACAGCAAAAGTCTGGAATACCAGCCGATCTACTGACCTATGCACACTAGTTCCTGTTTTGTGGATTAGTGAACCAGGTAGTGAACCAGGAGACGGTATCAGCGGTCCTGGGTAGTTTGGCCTCGGGATAGCACACTATTACGGCTCCATGGCTGACAGGGGCACACTGCCTGCCTTTCTCCCTGGGGCTCCTGCGGCACACCCAGCAGCGCCGTGCTCTCCTGCCTCTGTCCCTGCGAGCTGACGAGGGAGCCTAGCCCTATAGTCCAGGGTGACCCACCATACCACCCTCTCCAAATCCACCATGTCCCTCCCCAAATCTAGTCCCGTGTGTCCTGGCTAGGGAGGGCCACTGCTGGCTCAGCCAATGCCGCCCTCATTTGTCCATGCTAGAGCTACCAAGTCCCAGCCTCCTGCTGGCAGATGCAGGATTGTGCTGATGAAGAGGCCAGGATGGCCTTTAAAATATAAAATTAAAAACCCTCGAAGAAGATATATTTGAGCACAGTTTTTTCACCTTCATAAAAATAAAACAATAGATAAAAATAAACATATTCTCACCTTCATAAAAATTAAAAATAAGGGCACACTTGGAAAGAATCATGTAAATGTGTATTAATTTCACTTACTTATCTTTTATAAAGTTAAATTGTAATATGGCTAAGAGCAAAAGTCTTTAAGATTTTAAACCTGTCAGCGGAGAAAATAAAGAGCTGATATAAATTCTGAAGTAATTTCTGAAAAGCACCATAAACAGGGCTGAGCTTGTCTCGTGGAATCCAATGTGCTAATTTACGGACAACTCGCTAAGGATTCGTCTCTAGAAAAGATAAAGAAAGAGGGCTCACCTGCCAGAAGTCGGCCACGGTGGTGGGCAGTGGGCCCTGGGTGGCGATGTACGCAGGCTTCCGAGGGTCATGGTCCATCTGTGGGAACAGGAGAGTGCACACAGGATCAGTTACACGGGCTGGAGGGCGTGAGGGCACAGACCAGCTCCGCTCAACCTGAGGCCACTGACACACCACGCCCATCACCATAAAACAGGTGGAAGCCAGGAAGCCAGGAAGCCGCCACTCAAGGAGCCCTTCAGCCTGGTGTTCCAGAGTGGTGCGTGTGAGGCAGACCTGAGCGAGCGGGCAGAGCCAGTACCAGGCTGCCGGGCAAGCCTTTCAGGACACAATCGGCCCCCAGCGGCTGGGCTTGAGCTGCGAGCAGTGGGCCATGCCCACACGCAGTGGACAGGTGCTCGGGCCTTGGAGGAGCGAACACATGAAGGCGCCCAGCTGACAAGCTCATTCGTGTCGGTGTTTTGTCGTCTCGGGAGGGACACACGCAGCCGGCCACCTGGCCTGGGTCGCTGGCCCGAGTGCCCCCGCAGGTGTGTCTGCCTGGAACTGTGCACGTGTGTGTCCATCCGTGTGTGTCTGTAGGGATATGTGAATGTATGTCTGTATGTCTATGGATTGTGTCTGTCTGCATGTTTGTGTCTCTTTGTGTCTAACGTGTCTGTCTGTATATGTGTCTTTGCATGTGTATATGTGTGTCTGTAGTATGTCTCTGTATATGTATCTGTATGTGTATGTAGGTCTCTGGGTGTGTGTTGGCATCTCTGTGTGTCTCTGTGTGTACATTCCACCTGTGTATCTGTATGTGCATTCCATCTGTGGTCTTCCTGTGTGCATTCCATCTGTGTGTCTGTGTGCATTCCATCTGTGTGTCTCCCTGTGTGCATTCCATCTGTGTGTCTCCCTGTGTGCATTCCATCTGTGTGTCTCCCTGTGTGCATTCCATCTGTGTGTCTCCCTGTGTGCATTCCATCTGTGTGTCTGTGTGTCTCCCTGTGTGCATTCCATCTATTCCATCTGTGTGTCTCCCTGTGTGCATTCCATCTGTGTGTCTGTGTGTGCATTCCATCTGTCCATCTCCATGTGCATTCACAGGTATCTCACGCACACGACCCAGCTTCTGTAAGTTCATCTCTGTCTCATCTCTTCCCTGTTGGGGCGAGTTGCTCAGTCAGGCCTTGCTTGCTCCTGTGGGGGAGCTGATCATAGCAGACCTTAACCGCAGTGGCCGACCTGAGACCGACTCTTCGGGGAAGAGTGGATGTGAACACCAGAGCAAAGCATTTCGAGGTGAATGGGGGGAAGCCAGGGTCCCAGGGTCCCTGCAGGATAGTAGCAAGTCATGGGGCCTGGGCGTTGCAGAGCAGTTCTGTCCCTTTCCAAGGGACCCCGCAGACCAGGCCCAGGGAAGGACAGCAGGACAGTGCCAGGAGATAGAGTCTAGTCAGGACAGACGCTCAGTTTGATCCACCCTGTCCTCGACCAGCCCAAAGGTGGCACCAACAGCTAAAGTAACTGTAGCTCAGGGGCACAGCGCTTGCCTTGAATATATGAGGCCTGAGTGTGAATGCCAGCATGCACGCGCACACACACAGACACAAAGTGGGGGGCTGAGTTTAAAAAGTAAGTGTTGGCCATTCATTTCTCAGCGCAACAGAAAAGGAAAGACTTTTCCACACACGCTCAGGGTGGAGGCCTGAAGAGGAGCCCCAGAGCACATGCCCAGCCTGTGAGTGCTCTGGGGATGACGCCTGTCAGCACAGAAAGGTGCTGGACGCACATTATAATTACGTGAGCAGAGAAAGGGCAACAGCACAGAGCAGCTGTGCAAGTTATTCTAACAGAACAGCACGGGCGCTGGCTGGTGGGGGCGGGAGCTTCTATTTCATGATTCCTAATTAAAACTGGACCTCGTTTTGAGATTCACAATGTGCACAATACAGGTAAAATTATGTCGCTCTCCCTGAAAGCCCCAATTAAGATGTTTCAGCAGAAAACGTTTCACAGAAATGAGGAGTTTTGGTTTTTCAAAATATGCATTTGCTGGGGGTGACAGCTATTTACAGAGGCCCCATCTCCCGGCGAACAGCAATGTGGAGGGACCCCCACCCCCTTCTCCAGTGTGATTTCTTTTGCCCAAAACAACATTGACTACAGCACATTTAAAATTTGTGACATGTTCAAGCTACCAATTTAGCTGTTTTCAGGATAAGAAACGGGAGATCAAAAGGAAAGATACGGACAGCATTTCAGGAGGGCAGATGTGTCCATGTGCATGATGGGTTTCAATCATCATTTCAAAAATGACGTAACCCCATCAAACCTGCTCAGACTCCAGGCAGGAGTGAAGGGAGCCAAGGGCATGGGCATGCAGCTCAGAGGCATCCAGAGAGGAGGCCGGTGGGACAGGACTTGGGGCAGGAGATGTGCAGAGGGCTCTGCCTTCCCTGGACTGTCACAACAAGCACACACACACACACACACACACACACACACACACACACACACACACACAC